AGGAATGCATAAAAAAAAATAACATCAAAGCAGCAACCTGTAACAGGCACTTAACATGAAAAATTCCATCTAAAATAAATGAATGGTGAGAAAATGCAAAAGGATCCTACAGACAGATGCATCAAGTCATTCTAGCATGGATTTTGACGTGAATAATCCCACTTATAACATGTTCTCTAGAGCTATTCACAGCTATGCACCCAGTTTTCACTATTTAATTAGCAACAACCTACATTTGCCTACACCATTTAAAAGTACACACACACACTCTCTCCCTCTCATCCTTCTTTATAAAAAGTAACTGACAAATATCCAAATGTTTTACCAGACAGCTCCTGCATCATGCTATTGAGAGCATCCATTCCCTGCCAATCTCCAGTGACTTAAAAACAATATGGGATCAGTTTACTTTTCACTGTAACATACTTTCCAAGCTGCAGAGAAAACCCACTGCCTTTCTGAGATGAATACATGATCATCATACAACAAACACCTGGAGGCCTGACTCATTGGTCAAATCAACTTAGGGTCACTTCAATAGGGCTATATTGATTGATAAAAGCAAAACAGATGGTTTGAATGTTTGCAAATCACCTTTGCAACTCAGAGCAATTCCCCATCCCTTCTTCCCTAGAGGCACACAGACCTCTGTCCTCTACCATGGGCCTAGCAGCTAGAGAGCTGGGATTTCCTCTATTAGGTGCCAAGCTACTCAGGGCAGGGACCATTTTTCTCCCAGGCTCAAGAGCCCCATCACCAAGCACAGCCTCTGGGCACTACCACACTGTATGCCTATAACAATAGCAGCACAACATCAGCCTGAAGCAGGTGACCCCAACAACTCAGCCACAATGGTGTCACGCTGTGCACTTGTAGTGGTTGGCATCCAGCAGCCTCTTCTCAGAAGGGCTGTCTGAAGTGAAGGACTCAAAATAAATGCCTTAAGTAGTAAAACTTCGTTCACCGAGTCTGTGGTTATTAGGTCAAGTCTGCTTGACTTCTTATGTGAGGTAAATTGCAGGGCTGAGCCCAGGAAGTCCAGTGTGCACAGAAAGTTGAAACAAGGCAGCCTCTCTCATCCTGGTACAGGCCTGGTTGTCCCTTCCTTTACAGCACTGTTTCAGGAATAAAGTGTCATCATCATCCACTGCAAAATAATGGAGAAAGCGCATTAAAATCATCCATCCCTCTGAGAGCTCTGCCATATTCACACCTGGACTGGACTACGGGGAATTGGAGATTTTCTGCCTCCAGAAGGAGCAGAAGCCATAATAAAGCAGAAGACTTAGACGTCTGAATCTCCTTGTTATTTCTAACCTACCCTGTAAGTGGTCAGGTAAAGATACATTTTTTTTATGTTATGCTACAGAACAAAACATGCAGTGCCATATGCAACAAAGGAGCCTCCATGTGACAGCCAGGGAATGGGCTTTACCTCAGATTCTCGCAGATATATCCCTTTGCCATCCTGTGTTAAGTTGCGAAAGGCCTCTGCAAAAGAAACAAATGAGGAGCATTAGCTTGATAGCCAAGACATCACCACCAGTCAAGACACTGCCTCAGGAAAGACCTCAAAGGCAGAGTTTGTAGGCTATTCACAAGTGCATGTGAGCTTCTCTGTTCTGTCACTGGAGGCTGGAACACTGGGAGCAGCTGAATAAAGTTGGTCATGTCACTCTCTGCCCATCTATCTGTGAAACCTCAAAATGCAGGGGGTCCCAACCTCACCCACAACTTTGAGTGAGGTGCGAAGTGTCTACAGCAGAACTCACAGACTGAGTATCAGCTGTCTCATCATCAGAACCACAGTCCACCAAAGATGTATTCCAAGGCTCTCTTCTTCCTGGAAAAGGTGTATTCCAAGGCTGTCTTCTTCATGGAAAACGAGTAGTCTTCATCTGTAATTTGCCTACCTCCTCTTACAGAAGGCTGGTACAGACCTGCAGGTAGCTAAATCACTCTGATAAGTACAGCTTGGATGTCTGTAGAAGGGGGATGGTGGAAAGGTAAAGAGTGAGAGCTCAATTTCCTCTATATCTGTCCCTTGCTTTAAACTGATTATTCTTGGTTTATTCATAAATCCAGTCCTTCTACTGTTGACCTGTTGTCACTGCCAGCTGGAGGAGCATGAGGGGCTAGGGCTTACCCAGCAGCCCAGCTTGCCTAGCCATACACATGACATCAGCCTCACCTCCCATGATCTCCACTCGAAGCATGAAGCAAACAAAGCTCTCAAAGCTGATCTGTAAGTCAGGGTCACCATATCTGATTGCCATCAAATTACATATTTCATTGCTGAGTGAAATGCCTGCATAAGATGGAAAAAGAAAAAAAAAAAAGGAAAGCAGAATGAGATGGCAACTCCCAGCTGTACACAGCTGAATGTGCACAACTACGGGTACACACATGGCTGTGAGCACACACAACCAAGTGGTCTCCATCCCTTCTCCAGCAGCTTGGATTTTCAAGCCTCCCCTAAAATAATCAAATATTAGCCAGCCCAATTGAGACCACTACATGAAGATATCTCATCCAAGTTTTAAAGGATTCAGATCTGGTCCCCTATACTCACAGTCCTGCCAGAGTTGAAATAAAATACACAAGGGCTTCCTTTGCTCATGGGATATGAGGGTAATAGCAGCAGCTGGGTTTAAAAGCAATACTCCATAAGATGGCAGGAATGGAGATGAAATAGAAAATACAGAGGAAGCTCATATAGAAATCATCAGTCACAATGTCAAGCAGTATTTGCAGGGAATAAAAGTATTTTCTATTCATGGCCTGGGATTTTAGTTTGCTTTAGCAGAGCCTGTCTGGGTTTCTCACTGTGCTTGCACTGACTCAGATGAACAGGGTGAACATGCACCAAAAAGAGGAATGATATTTAAGCTGTAAACATGCAAAAGAAGCTACGAGTCTTAGCACCAGCCCCCACACAACGCCCAGTAATAGCAACAGAGCTTGGTCCACTATTTGGACCCATATGTTTCATCTTCCATTTCTAGATCAAGCTTCAGACATTGTATTACTGAAGTCTGTCACCAGTATTACGTCTGTGCAAGTCCCACACTTCCGAGTTCAGTCCCTGAGCTGTCGTCTTCAGCAGAAGTAGCAAATTAATATGAGCTAGCTCTGGCCTCCTGCATGTATCCACACAACCCCACAGTCTTTTAAAATTCAATTAGCAATGAAAAGGAAGGGGTTAAAAAACTGGGTCTAAAATAGGCAGACACTGCTCTTTCAGACAGCTATCAGTATGAGACCATACTGGGACAAAGATTGAGTAGCCCATCCCATGGCAAAAAGTTTTTCAGATGTGTTTACCCAGCTAAAGAAGGAAGAAAAGATGGCCAAGACCATGTAGCCTATGATGTTTTCCACTTCTCCTGTGCTGTACCTACAATTATCAAGATGTTTCCCAGCCCTGGGCTTTTTCCAGCTTTTATGAGGAAGAGGCTGAAATTTGTCAAAATGCACTGTGGGCTCACCTGTCTCCTGTACAGCTGCATGCAGTTCCACAAGGTCAAGCTTTCCTGATCTGCTAGTGTCTCTTTTCTGGAAAACTTCCTGGGGGATGAGGGACTATTTTTAAACAAAACATACAACTCAAAAAACAACAGATGATACCAAGGAGATTGTGAGTGGGGACATATTGCAAAGGGGCACAGAAATTATTGTCATACCAAATAGAAAAGCAGCCTTTTCCACAGGACTCTGAATTCCTGGATACTCAGTGTGCCAGTGGCATTCAGCTTAGTGGGAGAATTAAGGTCAAAACAGCTCAATTAAGCATTAGAGAGCACCCATTACATTAAAAAAAAACCCAAACCAAATCACCAAACAACCCAAAAACTCATAGCCCCTCTAACATTCACACAATTATAATATGAGGATAATGATTTCTTAGTCCACAAGCCTATCTATAGGCTTGATCCTCCTCCCACTAAAGTCAACAGAAACCTGACTGCTGATTTCAGAAGCGGCAGGAATCAACCCCGTCCCAAACAAACTCCATTCTGTCACAGCTGAGCTGTTATTATGGAGGATGAGAAGTTCAATAAGCAGGGCCACGTCCTGGTGGCAAAGAAATCACAGTAACACCCAGTCTGCCCTAAGAAATAATGCTCATGGGAAGTATTATATGAGTCAGAAGAATCACTCATGACAAGGATACATCCAGGAGTGCCAAGATACTCTGGCAGGAATCCAGACTGAAACTCAGGCGAAAACTCTGGAAATCTGGAGAGAGAGGAAAAAGAAATATTGTTTTGAGAAGTCATTGAACATCTCTCAGAAAAATGGACTCTCACAAAATTCCCCCTCACTTGAGAGGGCTCCGGCCCCAAAGCCTTTGTGAAACTTTACACCCACTTGAGAAGATGTATCATTTATGATGATAAAAATATGAGGCAACAGGATGGATTCTACTAGTCTCAGAAAATCCAATATGAGCTCCCTGCAGGCATGTAATACAGAATGAAATATGGTGCACTATCTCCAGCTATTAGAGAAAATGGAAGGAAAAGGACATCCAAAGCTCTAATCCCAAACAGAATTTACTGCATGACCTTGAGGAAAGTCACTTGACCTGAAGAGCTTTGAGGAACAGCACTGCAGATTAATTGAAACCCTCGTGCTAAGCATTACTCTCTCCCTCTCTTTCACAAGCACTGCCAACTCTGTTAATATAATTAAAAGCAAAGGCATTGCTGAAAACATGATGCTGCATCAAAGCTTAGCATTGGTGAGACACTGGGCACAGGTTGCCCAGGGACGTGGTGGCTGCCCTGACCCTGGTGGTGTTCAAGACCAGGCTGGATGAGCCTTGAGCAACCTGATCTAGTGAGGAGGTGTCCCTGCCCATGGCAGGGGGGGTTTGAGTCCATTCCAACCCTTAAATTCTATGATTCTATGATTCCTAGTTCATACATAAGTTACATGAAGAGCAACAGAAATGGGCTCTAATCTCACTGCAAATCATGATTATAGATGGTCTGTAGACTTCCACTGAATAAGGGACAGAATCATATCTCACCAATCCCTTCTCTGCAGAAGGTCAAGATGTTTTAATCTTGTAATAACCCTGTTTAGTAAATACGAATCAAGTACTGTAAAGGTTTTTAAATCACTGTCTTAACCATCAAGTCCAATCACGGTAGGGTTGGACGCGATGATCTTTGAGGTCTTTTCCAACCTGATTGATTCTATGATTCTATAATGCTAGATGGAGTATTTTCTATGTTGCCTATCAGTTGTTACCAGCGAAGAAACTGGGAAGAAAAACTGGATTCATCATTGTATCTGTAATTTCATTCATCGTTCAGAGGAATCAGTCACTGCAATACTTCGCTGCTGTCCAGGTAGTGCTATTAGGACCAAATTATGAGCTTGTGGAGTGCTTTAGGCTGCCCCTGGCAGAGTGGATGTCACAGTCTTCATGAGAGAGACAAGCTCAGTATTCACCTGGTTCTCACAGACATAGGTTACACAGGCCACCTGTACCTCATCCTGTCTCCCAAACACAAAGAGGGCAAGGAACAGCCCTACGCATGCATAGCAGGGAAGAGTAAATAGGAGCAGCAGGCATGAACCAGGCACATGAAGGCAAAGACAAGAACCTCTTCCACCACATAACTGCCTACACACTGGGCTTTCCACACCTTCTAGCTGTCAAGCCCCAGAGATTGCAACAGTGGCACAGGACGAAATGAGATACAGTTTCAAAGGCTGCTGTCAGACTGGGTTTGGAGGTCAAATTAAGAGTCTCCATCCACACTTGTTCTCCCCTTTTATTCTTTCAGTTGTTGAAATTCAAACTAAATTAACTTCACTTATTAAATTTCTGCCATGTTGATTCACACCCCAGCAAATCCTTTTGCTCTGGAAATCTCACATGGCATCAGAAGAGTCAGTTCAGTCAGATTCAAGCCAGTTTCTCCTCCCAGAATTCAAGAAATAGATGCAGGAGCTGAAGCTTTTCTCTGAGAGGGTTTATTTTACAGAAACATTATTTCTCAGCACTTACTTCTGCAAGATATATTATTCAAGATCCTCTGGAGATGAACAGCATTTATTTCAGGATTCTGTGATATGAAAGAGTATTTTAATTATTTTTTTCAAAGTATTAAATCACTTTTCTCCCTCTTTTGTTTTCCCAGCATGTCCCACCTTCATTCTCTGCTTTTCTGGCCCCACTCCAGTCACTATGAAAACCAATAGAAAAGTCTCCCTTTGAATATGATAAGATTCTCAGCCTGCAAGAGCTGCAGCCTGCTCTGGGCTAAGTTCTCAGCACTCCACATAGATCAATGCAGTAGTGCAGATTTACACCAAGTCAGGATCCAGGCTGTTAACCTTTTAGCCCTGGTGCCATCTGTCCCATCCAGCATGCTGTCAGGAGACCTGCTTCAAATATTTCTCTTTTATCAGTTACAAACAAAAAAGATGGAAACTTTGGAATACTTCTCCCTAAACTTTTCAAAGCAGTGACTCTCTGTCCTCCTTGTCTTACTAAAGTTTACAGGTTTTTTTAGAAGCTGTGACAATTGCTTGTTTTGAGGACTTTTTAAAATGTCACTTCTGAAAGCTTGTTTTCAAACCATTGAGACATGCCAGGGTAATGCCTTCAGAAATGGCAGTACTGCCTGCCTCTGTGTGTACTTGGACCTCCTGACAGCAAAGGACCAGCACCTCACAGTATGTGGTAATTTCTAGCACATCTGAAAGCCACATCATTCTCAAAATGAAAATCTTTAACAAGTGGGAAAAAGTAAAAGCATTGCTTGCTTTTAGTAACAGCTTCCTTCAAAATATTGCTACGAAAAGCGTAAATTTGGTTTTGTGAAGTTGTGTTTGTCAAATACAGCGTATGATGCTAAATAAATGCAGTGACCTTTTACGAAAGGTGAAACACTTGCATCTCTCACCATAGGTAGTGAGATCACAGATGGTCAACTCCATCCCCAGTCAGGCCAGAGAGATCACTAAAAAGAATCTTTCATAGTAAGAATCATATTTCACTAGGAACACTAGTGAAAAAAAGGAGGTGACGGGACACCTGATAGCTACTTCACCTCTCAAAGCAAGTTAGCTGCCATTGAACTGGGATGACATATGCATGAGACAAGTGTCAATATTTCAGGGGGTGTTCTCTAATAGGTGACTTTCCTCAGTGAATATAAGAACACCCTAAAGGGTAGGATGGATCCACACAGCTCATCACTTTGTCCACAATACAGGCAATAGGAATTAATGTCCAGGGAGAACACTTAAGCCTGATCAGCTTCTGCAGTCCACTCTGCTGTTTCCCTGACACTCACACTTGTTGAAAGATGGATCTTAGAGGGTACAAACCTATCCAGTCCTTTAGTACATATTTATGGACTTTCTGCTCATCAGATTGCCAATACCTTTTTGATCCTGTTCATCCTGTCACATACATAATGTCCTGTAGCATTAAGTCCCAGGCATCCACACCCTGTTGTGTAGAGAAGTATACCTATATGTGCTAACATAATGCTAAACTTCGTGGTCAAATTTGCTGCATGGAGTCATCACTGTACACACAGCCCAACCTCCTGTCTATAGCCCCTGTCTGTTCCTAACATTTCCATGTCCAGACCTCCCTTAAACATCCACATGCTTTTACTTTCACAGAGCTACGTAATAGCTCTGGGGGAGTTTACTCTGTCAGCCCATGCAAGCACTTACTTGTTCAAAATGCTTTTTGAAAAAATCTTCCCAGGTCTTGCCTTCATATCTATCAGCAATTTCCTTTAAGATATGTAAAAAATTATAAATCATTAACTTAAGGAAGAAAAACATTGTCATCCATGTTACTAAAGATACTTTCCCAGAACTGTGAGCCATCCCCTGTCCTTCCACCTTCTTCCTACCACTGCAATCCATGCTACATGACTAACACAGACCTCTGCTAAAATAGATCCCTGCCTCATAGAAATGCTGTTTCTTGGAAAGAAATACTCAGATAACACTCAGTGGGGTAAAACATTCCCCCACACCCTGCCTCAAGCTGTGCAATGGAAAAGGATAGGGCTCACTCTGTGCCAAGAAGAGAAGGGTCTCTGTCATCCTTTGTACAGCACAACAGAAGAGCTGTAAGAAGGAAAGGCTCTGTTTATGCCAGGGGAACCAGCTATCCTATAAACTCCCTGGCACAAGCTGCAGCCTTGCATGCATTGCCATTGAGCTCAGTTGTTTTGAAAACAACCTACAGGCCATTGCATGGGAACAGTACTGCTCAGGGCCCACAACATCTTCAAAACTTTCAAGGCATGAAAGGGATGGGGAGAAGTGCAAGAATAGACCAGAAGTCTCCAAAAAGCCATGAATAGGAAAGACTACAGAGCAAGTAAGATGGTGTCACATAGAGATGCTTGCAAAATGGCAACTAAATAAGAAGCTGTCTAAAGATTTGCCTGTCCCCCACATTTGACTGGTTCAAAGGACTCTGGCTGTAAACCCAAGCTGTGCTTTCCAAAAGTGCTGCAATACAAACCCTGACATTCTCACTCAGCCTCTTCCTAGGCCAGAGCAACAATAAAAACCCAACACTTAGAGCTGAAGACCAAACCACAGACCTCCCACTCCCCCCCACACCCACTCACCTTCGAGAGGGTGAAACTGGTATTCCCGCCCATTTCCCTGAAGATGAAAAAGCAGACATGTTAAGGAGAAATCCCAGAGTTGTGTGTTTGTCTCACCACAGGTGGCATCTCCCACCTCCAGATGGGGCCCCAACCTGCTGTTGCAGTATATTTTTTATTCTCTGCTGTTACAGCTGCAGTAAGGGAAGGCCTCATATCCATGCATCTTCCCAAGTGCTGCTGGCATTTGAAGTCTCCAAAGCACCATTTTTGCACAAGCAATCATCCTAGCATTGCCAGCAGGGTCTCCTGGCAAACTAATGGTGCATTAAAAGTTCTTCTCCTTCTCACAGTCTAAAACATAAGCATGCTGCAAGAATTATGCGGGCCTAGCTCAACACTTCTCAAAAGGATAAGGCCAAAAGCAGTGCTTCAGCCACAGAGAATCTTAAGGTGGGAGAAGCCCACAGCCAGCCTCTCCAAAAGAGGTTGTGCTGCTTTTTTAAGAGGAAAGTTTTTATGCTGCACCCATTAGACCAGAAAGACCAGACTGTCCCAGAGAATTAGGTGCTGGCAGAGGGGAAGCAGCATCTCACCGGAGAAGATGCTTCCTGGAGAAGACCCGCAGGATGAATTCAGACTCCTGCTGAGGCTCCAGGGTGGATGGGACAATCACATAGACAGAAGGCTCCAGATGGAAGTCATGAGTCACTTCCCGCTCATCAAGGAAAACCTGGTGCTTGTTCACAGGCTGATGTTGGGTGAAGAAAGCTGGGGGCAGCTTTCTGTTGCTTTCCTGGTACTGTTTGGGGAAGAAAGATAAAAGAAATGTGTTCTGCACCAGCTGAACAAATGGACAAAAGGTATGTGGAGGATTTACAGGCATGGCATAGAGAAACTGCCTTCATGTCCCAGATTGTTTTACAGCCCAAAGGATTCAGTCTCCTCTCAGGACATGGCAGTTCTCACTATGCAGCGCCTCTGCCCAATACTAATATGGCAAAGAACTGGACTTCCTCCAACTTATCAACTGTAAAACAGTACTTCCAAGGAAAAGCAGCAAGGACTGAGGAAGAAAAGCCTTTCTTGTCAGAGTAGCCACTGCAAAAGTCTTCCATACTGGCAGAAATGACTGCAGCCAGGAACTGCTCTAGAGACTGCTCTTCCCTAGCCAGAACACCCCTCTTATCCCATAGGGATCACATTGTCCCTAACTTGTCCTTTGTGCTAGGTATCTGGTAGCAGAGGATTTTTCAGAGCACCTGTGATCTGAGCATATTGCAGGAGCAACCTAACCCCTAGCCCTGAATCCATGCAAGTGTCCTTGATCTGCCTGGCACTCTTTGCCCTGCAGACACTTCTCTGAAACAGGAGAATGGATAAAGTGTTGATCCAGGCAACACAGAACTCATTTTTAATGCCACTGAGTGCCCAGTACACCAGTCAAATAAATAATCCTGCTAGCTAAAACCACTGTCACCTTCTGATCTTGGCTGCTCCTCAAAACATTTAGCCATTTTACTCTGCAGACTCATGGGGAGATGCTATCCCTCTTCCTTTGCCAGTATTTTTCTTACTAATAGAGCAATCTTTCTTGTGAAGGGTTCAGGGTTACTCTTCCTCATGCCCCTTATGTTAAATTCAAAGTTTTTATATTCCAGTCAATACTTTGTTGACGGTAGTTCCAATACCTTAGATGCTCTCAGTTTGCCATCTCTGTGTATTGATCTTGGCAACCACTACAAACCTGAAATTAAAGTCCTGGCTGCCACCATTCCAGCTCAGGTAGAGCAGAGCAGTATACTAGGGCCACATTCAGACCCCCGCTTCCAGGATGTTTACCTTACTTGTAGCCCTGATAATGCCCAAAGTACTTAAGTAAGGAAGGAGTGGCATTTTACCTTATGGCTACTATGCTGGAAATACTTAACTGGGAACACAATTGTGCTGCCCTAACCGTACACCCAAACTAGTTCTTTGCCAGCCCAAATTTGCATTTATGAGGTGTTCTAAGTAGTAACAGTGCAGAAGATTTGCCCTTTGAAAACAAAAGGGGCTAAATCTTTCCCTGTTTTAAATAGCCTTCTGAGTTGAGGGCCAAAATTGGGACATAGATCAGGATTTAACTTCCAGGGCCCCTTCTCAGCTCCCAAAGGCTCCTGGCTAAAGAAAATGCTAGGAATACAGCTGGCCTGAGGAAGCTGAAAATATATGGACCATCAACTCCAGAACATTTGCAGCCAGGAGGGAACTTGAGCTCCCAGGGAGACCACAGACCTGCATGGAACACAGGTCTGTTCCCATCTCATAGCAAGACTAGGAGGTAGCAGAAAGGTAGCTCTGGCTCCCCTGATAGCTGCAGTGAGTTCAGTTTAGACACAGATATTAATTGGGGCACCATCCTACAATTGCAGCAGGGGCAGTGTTGATCAGATAAACATTGATGCCACTTCTAATACCTTTGAAGACCCAGTACAGAAGCTGAACAACTAATGCTCCTGTTTAAGGCCATTGAGACCTCCTGATATGGCTGCTTTTCAGAAGAGTCAGTGGACTGTATTAATAGAGCCTTGCTGTGGTGTCTCACTGAACTCAAATACACTCTTACTTGCTGTCAGCCAAAGAACAAAGGCAAACACATCACCTTCAGTGTTGTCTTAACAGCTGCACCAGCCTAGGTCCCTCAGCAAATAGCCAGCAGTGGTCATAAGGGACTCACCTGCAGGCCCACCTGCAGGAAGAAAAGAAACAGAGCATCTTTCAGACAGGAACCTCTGGGTCTCAACAAAATATTGTCATGTCATTCCTGGGAAGCAGAGCTGCTACATACATTCATCTGGGTTCTTTGCCTTCGGAAATCTCAGCGCCTCCACCTGAAAACACTTCCCCACAGCTACCTATCTCTAACTGTGCAAACTTACAGCAGCAACAAGAGCTGTGGCTCTGTTCAAGGGAGGAGAGTGGCTCTCAAGGCATTTGGACAACCAGAGAATTGAGGGGAGGAAACTCTCACTCCTTTTAGTGATATCCACTTACCCCTGAGTACACAGGGAACTAGCAGTATGTACACACGGGCAGCTGACACACCATATTAGGAACATTTCTCAAGCAAAATTTTACCATGGTTGGAAATAATCTGAGGGTATTGCTCTTCCTGCCCCAAAGTAAGGGGACTTCTGGCACCCTCTCCTGGCTGTTGCACTCAGAGACAACAAAGCAAAGCCTAATGTGCTTTGAAGGAAAAGGCACTTCTCAGTGCTCTGCAGGGTCACTCACACCATGCTGGAGAGGCAGCAGTGGGGCATGGAGCCCAAAGGAGCTTAGCCCTGATGTGTGAGGAGAGTGGGCACAGGTAGGAGGAAAGAGCACAGATCACCGGGTGAACAAGAAAATTCTTAGTCTGCAAACTGCTACAATTTACAGGGGCTGGAAGTTTTCCTATTTGGTGAATGCAAGAAAAGCAAAGCAATTCTTCACACCTTGTAGAGTAAAAATCCAATGAAAAGGTGAGGAGCTTGGTTCCGGTGTTTGGTGCTGTGTTTCTGCATCAGGGATATGACCACATTGCACGAATTCTGGCTTTTCTTACTGTCTTCAGCTGGTAAAACATTCAGCCAGTACTGAGGATTCATCCAAAAGTTGCCTAAGCAAGAAAGAAAAACATTTTGATGTCATTCTCCATCACAAAATTGATTGCAAACCTCCCACATTATGCCTGGCATTGGCCTGAATAGGTTACACATTGTCTGGATCTCCAGACCCCACAGGAATTTGATTTTAAGGTGAAGTTCACAGGTTTAGCAGTACAACTACTGCCTAAGACAGCAGAAAGACTCAAGAACAAGGAACTACATTTCTGCTTACCTGCAATTAAGAGTTCATTTTGTTATATAAAAATATCACTATTCCTTTATCACCTCCAATGCATGGGCTAGCTGATATCAGAGCCCACCTGCTCTGCTTCCAGAAGAGCTGAGCCTCTGCATTTCCCATTCACTTTACTTAAAGGGCCACTCTCTGGAGCTGCAGAGGATTCAAATTTTAACAGACAAGTTTAATACCCCAAAGCAGCTCAGTGTTGGCAATTCTTCCTGGGATCCTGCGGCTCATTTCATGCTATAATCAGCCCACTGCCCTATGTTTGCAAGTGATGTGACAGCAGAAGCTAGTCAAAGTCCTCGAGCTGCTTATTTCTGATGTTTGTGTGGAGGCTAAAGCAGGAAGCGTATGTATTTGTTATGAATTCTATGATAAGAGGTATAAGGTGCTGGTAACTGAGTCAGCAGAGCATTCAAAAGTCACAGTCATCCAAAAGAGCACCCCTTACCATTACAGAATCCCAGATTTCCTCCTGCTGTACTTCCTTTAACCCATCTCCCACTCTTCAGGGAGTACATCCACTTTTTCCCATCTTCCTGGCTCATCAGGTCTGGAGTTAATTTACAAATCATCAGATCTACAAACTGAACCTTAAAATCTCGCAGAGACATCCTGGGAAGAGAGTGCCAAGAGACATCTTGTCAGCAGTTTAGTTCAGTCCATATGGCTCATAAAAAGAAAAGGAAAAGGAGCAGAGAACTTCGAAGCCACACCATTTTGTGTTACATATGGTAATGCTCATATTTTATTAGGCAGTAAAGAAGAGAGCGTCTGCTCCAACAGAAGCATCTAGGAGTAGCAAGTGCACGACTAAAACTTCAGCAAAGGACAGCAGCACAGAGATTAAAATATTGCCATTGAAGGGAACGCAGTGAAATTACAGGGGCGACAACATTGCCACCTTGTGGCAAAAGCTATGGAGAAACCACGGACAAACATTAGGAAAGCGAGAGCTTCCCAAAGCCATGTTAAAAATAAAAGGTAGGACTAAAGCTCCTTTGTCTCCATCAATCCCGGGAGACCTGGCAATGTCCTGCTTCTCCCTCACTCCTGCCACTGAAGAACAGTGCATTCAGTCAGCACAGCTTCTCACATTATCAAGCACAGGGGAGCGAGAGAGCAAGCATGGGCTGGTATAAAGCAGATCACCTATGCCTCAGCCTAAGTGGCCAGATGCTGATTCATCTCCAGGTGCAGCCCAGAGCGACTGGTAGAGAAGGGAGAGGCAAGACTGTGCCATTACCAGAATTCTCCATCCTCCTTCATTTTTCTCAGCAAAATCTTCTCCTTTGGGCTCAGCAGCTCCCACTTACAAGAGCTAAGGGGGAAAACATGAGGTGACTAACCAAATGTGACCTTAAATTCAAGGCAAAGTACTTAGCTTTCCTCTGTAAAAAGAGGCCAAATCCCTGTTCCTACATATCTCCATGTTTATCTGCCACTAAAGAAAGGCCCCTATGCCTTCAGCCATGGGATACCCTCCACAAGCACTCTGGGTCCCATGAGATATAGCTAAATGGCCCCAGTTTTCTCCAACAGAAGCTGGAAATGCTCCATTTCCATCAGCCAAGTTCCATCACTTGAACATGCAGCTTCCAAGTATTTAAAATATAAAAATCTAGATCTGCTTTGTTGGTTAATTTTCTGTCAAAGGAAACATAATAGGAAGAGTGTTTGGCATAATGAATGAATGACTAGGACAGCACAAGAGGCAGCTGGGAGTCGTTTCAAAGGCAGGCCTACAGTATGTTGCTCATTATGCTCTTCAACAGGAACAGCTGGTGTGTTGTCATTATGTGACAGACACGCATCAGAGAAGTTATTGCTCTGCACACAAGGTGAAAGTCACATTCTCAACGACCTCTGTACTCTTCCCTCCCTTCTACCCCCTGAGCCTCAGCAAACTGGGTCTGTGCAGGGAATGAAGTGAAAGCTTGGAAGGAAGCAATAGGCTCCACTTCAAAGAGGAACAGGACAGAAGTTTACAGTTGCCCATAGTCTAGAATGTAAACCACTGTCTTTCATGGATCTCAATAAAATAAATTCAGCTGGATGTAAATATAGGGCCCATTTCCCTCACTAGTTGATTTCTCTGATCTAATACCCAATTGTATTTCTGCAAACAGCCAGGACAGATGACTCCTCCACAGCCACCCAACTCCAACACTTTGCAGCCTGTGGAGGACTTTGCACAGGCCCTTTCATGATAAAGGGCAATGTGCCCTGAAACACACTGTTTGTTTAGAGCCTTCTGCACAGCTTGTTTGTTTAGAGCCTTCTGCACAGCTATCTGTCACTTTGCATGCCATCCAGACCACAGCAACGTGGTCAGCATCTGATGTTCATATCATGTTTCCTCTGGTATGCAGTGAATGGAAAAGTACAGTGATCTTGTTGAAGCTGCACATGTGAAGTGAGCACAACTATGTAAGTACTATCTGTTGGAGACATACAAATCTATCAAGTCATTCCTTTGACACCAGAAGGCCTGTGCAAGCAACTGTTATCATAATGCTGCCCTCAGCAGTAATTCATGCCTGAAGATGGCAGCATCTTTCCTCCTAGAAACCTTTCCTTTTTAATACTCACCTGTCACTCCAATCTCCTTTCCATTCAATTTTCCCCCATGGATTTCTCAGTCTCACTAGGTTTTCTGGTCCATACCGACAGGTCACCTGCAAAAAACAGTGACACTGTGCTAACCAAGGTTTCAGCAGTTCTCGTTTGATTTATATCATTGTATTATGTCAGGTACTAACAATGGCTTTATTTGTTCTCAGAGATGCCAGCAAGTATGATGATAAAAATCTATGAATATGCAGCTCTGAATGACAGCAAAAAAAATTATTAAGATGTTTTATCTTATCTTCTAAGCTGAGGGACATCATAGATTCCTAGGCTAGAGGCTTGACTGTAAATTCCTCTTTCTTTCCAACATCCACTCATTTTGTACTGCTGTGGGGGCAAGACTGTACTACGATGAAAGTCAAGTCCTACCCCAGTGCAAATGGCACAGCACAATGCAGCCCCTCATGGGTGACCACAAAGATTAGTGTTTCCTGAACTGGGATGCCTTGGTGGGAGAAGAGGGAACCAGGCCAACTAGGGGCTTTGCAGGCAGCACACAGCAGAACAGCTGACTTCACATTGGTCAGTCCCTTAATGCTGTCTGGCTCTTCATCCCATCACAGAAGCCAGACTGACAGACATGTCACTGATAAACTCCATACCCTCCTGTTCCTCTTGTGGAAGACACAGATGTGCATCATGCAGCTTATAGTATCTCTTCCAACTTTCCCAGTACCTCTTGCTAGAGGTACTGAACATGTTTTCACCAACATGTCAACCATTCTTGTCAGCTTCCTTTTGAGGCTGGACAAGACAGTTGATCTTGAGCTTTCTCCCACTCTTTGGGACCTATTATTTCACTGTCCCTTACCTCTAGACAAATATCTTAAGGGGGTTCTCAATGATTCTTCTGCAGATTAAGGGGGTCCACCTGCACTCTCTGCACAGGAGCCCAGTTCAGTTCCCTTACTCCACTCCTGGCTTACATTTCCATCTGCAGTTTTTCACATTTTTGTCCTTGCATCTTTACTTCTCTATGGCCTCTCCTTTGACTTCAAAGGAAGTCTTTTTACCCCAAGTAACATCCCCAAGTTTCAATACATCCTCCCAGCAGCCCCTAAGGCCACTCCTTTCGTCCGTAACAACTAAGGTGCATTTGTAGGTGATGCACTCAGCAGAGCCCTGTGAATCATTACCACCCTTGGAGATACGTTGATCAATAATCTGCCTCTACATCAAGGCCTCAGTACTAAAATGGACACACTAGAAAGTGAATCTTTACAAAGCATGGTATCTTTTAGTCTTAAACTAAGAAAAGAGCATTGGAGAGGAGATATCACAGTTGCTTTGATTAATGGTTGAACCTATGACTGCAATAAAAATTGCTGATATCCAAATAAACGTGGACCTAGGACATTAGGGCTAGTCTTACCTTTCTAATACCAGTTACTGTGTAGGCATGGCCAGCAACAAGCCCATTCTTCAGGACCTTTGTTGTCTATATCCAGGGAAGAGAAACAGAGGGAAAATAATCCTTTTATTCTATCCTTACTACACAGCAGACTTGTACCAATACCAGATACCTGTACCTGTGTAACCAATGACTCTCAAAGCAAATGTAAAAGATTTGAACTGAAAAATAAATAAAGTTCCCAACATGCATGTTTTGCAGTATGCTTGGAATTGGAAGGTTGATAGGGAAGGTCCCTTCCTAAATGGTGGATCTTTAGCTAGAGACCATCTCACTTTCAAAAAGTCCATGAGGTTAGGTTTTGATTTTCAGAAAGGTAGAGTCTCCCAATATCTGAAATGTTTGCATAAGGCTTGGAAGGAAGCCAAGATTTGAATTCACATTCTGAACTATACACCTCTCTATCTTAGCTATAATTTTATTCCATGTGTGTCTGTGCCTCACTGCACCACCTGTAAAAATGGAAAATTTATTTAACAAAGATAGGAAAATGCAGTAGTTCCTTATTTAATGGAGGCTCTTTAACAGACAAACCAGTTCCTATACATAACAACAAGGAGCAGAGAGCAGAAGGGAATCAATCTAAGTGCAAAGTTTAACATTAAGAATGTGACTTCTACAAAAAGTCATGTGTGCCAGCTTTGATATTTTTTGAGTCACAATGACTAGCTGAGCAGAGGGAAACAGGTCTGGAAAGGTTTTTAGCTGGAAAGCCATTTGATGTCACTCAAGTCTCACCCCTAAATGTGTGTGACAGCCCATGAGAGATCTGCTGTAGGTGGCTCTTGTCAGGATATCCCACAGATAAGGAGGAGCTTCTGCAAGCTTGATCCTTGTATTAACACCTCCTGTAAAATCCACCAAGGCTTCTGAAACATGCCCAATTTGCAGATCTTCATAGGAGCCATAGAGTCTAGCAAAAAAAGACATCAATATATCCTTTGGGTTCAGTCACAGATGACAGGTTGAGAACAGTGTGACAATGAAAACATACAAAAAAGTTTGAAAAAACAAAAGGCACACTGTAATTCATGCTTAATTTGGAATCTTTGGTGTTTAGTCTGAAAGGGACTCTTCACTCACTGTCATCCCTCACTGCACTGTCATGAGACCATGCCCATCACAACTTTGATAACTCTGCCTTAGCAAATGTTGACTGAATTGATCACCACTGTGCTGTATCTAAGATATAGTGCTTTGAGAGACACACTGTCTTCTGAGTTGTCTCCAATCTGATTCTTTACCAATACAGTGCAACTTTGTTCAGCCTTTTTGTTCTAATGCTAACACCAAATGAAAACAGCTGAAGTGTCTCATCTTCATTGTAATCTTTCTCTCAATGTTAACTAGGATTTTTTCCCTGCTCTGCAGAGATTATTTCAGTCCAATGTTACCAAATTCCATCAGTTAAGCCTTGTTGCTTTCTTTTTAGTCTTGATACTACCACTGGAGTTTACCATTGTAGACAAAACATCCTGGAGAGACACCACTGTTCTCACCACGTTATGTGACTTGTTACATGCCTCAGCTCTGGGGCACCTGAGAGCAGGAACATCTACCAAAACAAAGTACAGTGCTTCAGCAGACCTCCAAAATGAAAATCCTTGGAGCTTTCCCACACTGCTAATACATCAAAGGAGGCATCAGAAATCATTCACCTTTGAAAATGTCTATCTGTGGCCTTGTGGTCCTCTGTGGTATTTACAAGGAAGGCACCAGCCTAGCCAATACACTGCAAACAGTGATAACACTCAGAGGACAACCCACCACAATAGGCCTGTTTTCACACCTAAACCCTTGGATTTAAACTCCAGGGCCTGAATTGATAACAGCTACTGCAATGGCAGCTTTTACTGTGTAATAATAGAAAGATGAGAACCATTTACTACACTCTGATTGTAGCAAGGTCTAAGAGATACATTTATAAACAATGACAAACTGTGTAGGCACCAACCAACATATTTTAGAGACTACTTGAATAACTTGGAATGAGTCACTTACTTAGCATATGCCTTCTCCAGAAGGGCTCCCCAGAACACGTTCTTATTGACTGAGGAAACAAAGACCAGCTCTCCCGCCTCGTTCACCGGCAGGCGATCATCAACCACCACGTCAACCCATTCACCAAAGTGCCAGAACTGTCAGGGGAAAGGAATGAGCTGATGTTTCCCTTGGAAGGGATCTCCCCTTGAAAGAACAGGAAAGGCAAGATGGCCTAGCTGTGGGCACAGAACAAGCTGTTGTGGGTCAGTGGGGTGTGCTGACTCACCCACAGAGCCAACTCCTCATCTCCACCCAGCCAGAGGAGAAAAACAAAGCATGTACCAGGTGTAAAGGGAGTAAGCAGGAACATTAACCAAGCTGGACTTCTAGGGAAGGAATTCCTAACTACAGGGTAGCAGAGCTGCATCAAAAGGTGGGCAAAGGGGTAGACAATTGGAGCAGATGTGCTATTGCCACTGGAGAAAGAGTTTAGTCTGGGTTAAAATATGGGTAGGGCAGAGCTGGAGAGAAGGGCCAGAGGTACATCCTGAATTGCTTGCAGTTGATTCACTGCCTGCACTGCTTTGTGGGAGAGGTAATGGGCTACTTTCCAGGTCAGGATACCCTCTGGCCACTTGCCCCTGGCCAAGGGGAACCACGTACAAATTATCTGAGGGTGTGACACAAAACATAGCAGAGGATTTCTGAAGATCTTCTGCAATCTGGGGGAGCAGATGTACCCGGAAGTGGAAAATGCCAGCATATTTCCTCTCAAAGCTCTGGTTTTGTGGCACGACTGCAGCCAAGATGTCCTGGTGGAATGTCAGGGCTTCCAGGGCCGCCAGGAACCAGCAGTTCTCTGCGCCAAGACAAATGGACACATGCAGTTGGCTGAAAAGCAATATCTGTCAGCCAAGTTCAGGAACACCACCAAGATCCTAGTAGAAGAGCTGTTGTGCTGATGTCTTAACAATTATAACAGATCATACACAGAAAAATAGACAATCTACCCATGTGCTTTACTTAACCAAACCATGATTGGTTTATAATTGTTCTTTCATGATCTTTTCATTTGGGTACTGCTTGGTTAAATAAGAAATTTAGAAAGCAATAGCTCTCAATGGAAATATTCTGGGTTTTACTGACATTGCGTGGGGGTTTTTTTCTGTCCTCTATAAAGGCACACTATTAAAAAACTTTTCCATTTTTCTTTAAAAACATTAGCTTTTCATAACAGAAAAATAATTTCCAATGGAACTCACATGCAAGACTACTTATCAAACTGGTTTTAAGGACATAAAGCACTTAATTTAGTCCTGTCTCTACCTGTTTTGCAGATGACAATATAACCTTTCACTTTAGGTAACACAGACACAAAATTATTTTCCTAACTGCAAGGCTTGGAAGAGAACACACATTAAGCATTAGGTACAAAGACAGCAAAAGTCTTAGATTTTCCTGCTTCTCTGGTCTCTGTTAATTTGTCAAGCAGCAACACCACAGACCAGTAAGAGCACAGGATCCCTTGCTATTAGCACACACAGAATCAACACAGAGTGGCAATTTCAGCTTGTGGAGACACCTCAAGCCTCAAATCCCACCTTGAAACTTGCCAGTTTGTTTTATTGAGCCTATCCCATCTCAATGTTTGCTTCATCCACACCAAGCCAAGTGAAGAGAGGATAGGCATACCTTCAATTTCTATGCCAAGTTTTATACAAACTTCTATGCAAAATGTTATCTTGTCTAAGAATACTTAGATATTTATACAAAGGACCTTCCTTACCCACCAATCCTTGGCAGAGATCAAGTTGCTTTCTGTTTGCAGCATAAAATACTGGACTTTTGTGTAAAGCCTGGGAAGTACACAACCAGAAAAAAAAAGTTGGTAGAGAGTTAAGTCAGTAACATGAGCTGGTTTAGCTTGAAAGTCAAGGATTTTTCTGTGTGCAGAGCTGCAATCTTGTAAGATGGGAAATCCAGTGAGTTTCTAGCCTAAGATGTGACACCAAAACATTACTTCTGGCTGTTCAAAGTTTTCAAAATACTTAAGAGTCCCTTTGTCCCAGCAGGCATTGTGCTGGTTCAGGTATAAATCTAGTGTTATATTCTCTGGCTAACCTGACATCAGCCTGGGTACACATTTGGGCTTGGTCTACACTGAATTTGGTCTCCAGCATAAGCCACCAGTGCTCAGATGCATGGCCACCATGCTGAGAAGACAATCCTTCACACCTGCAAGCCTTACTCCTATATACAAGTTTCAGCCAAAAGAGGTTACAATGGTAGAACATAACTGTATAAACTTTCAGCTAAACTGATATCTCCATGATTTGACTGAAAGTTGAGCTATAGACTGACAGCTGCTGCAGAAATTCCTGTTGCTGTGACAAGAGCAGGTCTGTGAATAATTGTTCAGAGAGAAATAATGTTGTTATTTTTTTCCCCTTCACAAGTGCCTCTGGGGTTAAATTAATAACCTAAGTGTCAAACTTATATTTCACTCAAATGACCCTGAAATTGCTCAAGCTAAGTTTCACACTGTTGGCTTTCCCTGCAGGCAGCAGCAGAGAAACAGCAAACTCTCAAAAGGCAGTTAGAGTAATTAGACACCAAGCCGTGTCCTTGGTGAATCTGGGTGTTCGGTTTGCAGGCCATCAGTCATAGATGCAGCAAGCTACAAGCCTGTAGGGTGAATGGCAGAATCTCAGCATTTCCTCTGCAGCACTGGGACTGAAAGATGCACAGCATCCATCCTCAGAGAGCCTCTGCTGGGCCAGGATTGGCATTCAGAGCAAATGGCAGCCTTCTTCACAAGACAGTTTTGGAGCAGCAGAACAGTGGACTGAGAGACAGAGGAGGTTTCAAGTCCATTCCAATATCTGTGGAGTGGAGGGACACCTGAAGGGCTTTGTAGATGCCAGGACTCATATTGACCTTTCCCTCCCAAATCTCTATGCTGATATAGTTGCCTTACCTGCAGTGCCTGGCACAATGCAGATCAGGCCCCTGAGGACTGCACCCTTCCTCCTCCTACAGATCCTGACTTAACATAAACCACCTGTGAGACTGAATTATGAGTGATACTCTGAGAACCAGGGCTGTTATTTCCAAGCTCTCCTGCTCACTTTGCAAAGGTGCCTCTACTACTAGTGATTTTCATGAGTTTTACAGAAACATAGCTCTTCTGAGAAATTGTTTAAAACTGATAAAATATGACAACTAGAAAATAACATAGGTAGGAGATGCTATCTGCAATTACCTGGCATAATTCCCTTACAGATATGGTAATATAAGGAACCAGTGCTTCTGAAATTCTCACATAATTCTATAAATTGCTGTCAGAAAGACCTGATTGTCAATATGCTGCTCAGTGGCTCAGTAAGAACAGAACATCCATTGCTAGTAACAGGCCTTATCTAACTGTGCCAGGCCTTTCCTGGCCTCCTAGACTTGTTATCTTTCCATTTGCTATGAGAACGTGCCCTGCGACAAGCCCTTGCAACTGGGTTTCTCTTGTTGTGATGTTCAGTTTAAGCATGGGATACCAGCAAAGGCCTTGGAAATGTGAGCACAAGCAGAAAACAAAGGCCCCAAAACCAAAACTAACTCACCAACTGATGGGCAATTACTGGTTGTGATAGAAGCTCAACCTTGAGACTGCTCTAAGTACAATAGACTAAACAGTTCAGCAGTGAGGGGGGAAACAGCCCAGCGAGAGGATAAGGCACCTGCCACCGCCTGGGAAAGTAGCAACCAGCCTCCAGCACCAGAATGGTATGTGGTCCATGGGACAGAGGAGTCAAAGCTCAATTGTCTAGAAATTCAGAAATCTTCTAAAAGGTCAGGATTCTGAATTTCAGGGAGAAGAATCACTGCCATGAGAACTGTCATCACAGAATCATGGTAGGATCGCCGTAGCTGTGAGCTCCAAGGAAACCAGCTCCCCATGCTCCCTTCACCTGCTCTCCATGCCTGCTGGAAACATTACTGGAAATTAACTGAATGAGGCTGGTTATGATTTGGAGCAACAAATGCTTCAAAGGCAATTATGAACCTCCATGTACCCCAGCTTCCAAAATGAACCTGATATAATAAATGTAATCTCTGGAGACATTAAAGTACACCTGAATAAAACTTTGAGAGTAGTCTGTTCAATGCTGAAACTATTTGCTGGCTATAAGCTGTAATCATCCTCTTACACTTAAAATCACTTACATGTGGCCTCTTCCACTGTAAATTTCGGGGTAGTTTTTTTAGCAGGGCTCCTGTTCCAATAGAGCTGATGTGAGCTGGAAAGTTATCATCTGTGAAAAGGCATTTGTTCTTCAAGCATAACTCCAGCAAAGCCTGGTAGTTCTGCTGGATGGTAGGGGTGTGTTTTTGAAAGATACTCCTGCCTAAAGGCTCAGGTGACTTATATTTTTTCAAACACGGTAGAAAAGGCATGTTGATGTCCCCAACACCACCAGAATAACTTTTTTCCACTGAGGATTCTTCAGGGATCTCACCCTGCACAGTTCTGCTGGAAACTCCTGGTTTTCTGGTATTAGGTGTGTCTTCTTCAGAAGAATTCCTGGTATTTAACATAAGTATAAAAAGTCATTTTAGTCGTGCCTTTTAAAATTTTCCCCTTAGCCAGCAGGGGTAGGTAGGGGTAGTGGCACTCCCAGGAGGAGTGGGGACCCATCCAATTCTAATCTAGCATCTATCACTGCATTTTCAAGGTTTTACATCACTGCAGAGCTGAGCAAAATAAAAATGAGTGACCCCACTGACTTTTACTAGGGCTTTGAAGCCATACACATGCCTATTCTCAGTCTCTGGACTATTTTAGGCTCTCCAGGATATTTTCATAGCATGTAGCAACATGAATGACAGTCTTTATTCAATCACATTCTGGCATGAAGTTATTTCCCCTCCTCCCTCAAAAAAAAAAAAAAAAGAAAAATAGCAAGATAAAACAAAGGGTAACAGAAAAATGGAATACATTAGGTGTTACAAAGCCATAACTCACAACCCCCAATAGTTATTTTACCATTTTTGCCTCATTTTGGAGAATGATACAATCTCCCCCAAGAGATCACATTCCAACTTGTTGAATAACAGATTCACACATGAAATCGCATGCTGAGGTATTTTTTTCTTGTAACATTCAAGACAGATGTTTCTCATCCCCTCACTGAAAAGAGCAGAGTGATGTCCTAGCCCTCCTTTAATATTAGCAGCTATGCTAAACATTAGCAGATATCAACTTTGCTGCAAATGGTCGGCTCCTGGGAGAAATCATGACTAAAATCTCAGCAGGCAAATCATGCCCATCAGTGCTAACAAGGTGATCATAATCACAGGCTTCTCATTATAGTGCAGACTGAAAACATTAATCGGGATGTAAAGTTTAATAAACGGTTCACATACCATAATGATACAGTACTTGGAATGCTTCCCCACAGAGGAGGCTCTTTGAGACTCAAAATCACTGCCCCAGGCACCCTAGGATGATGGTTTCAGTTAGGAACCAGTTGATTGTTGCTCCCATCAAAGTTGAAGGTCACTGGTGTTCCCTGTGAGAAACCAAACAACCAGAGATTGCACTGTCCTCCCACACAGAGCCCTCATTTGTTATAAAACCACTCTACAACTGATCCACAAGGCTTGATCCTCAAGGGCAATCAAGGGAAAATCTTCAAAATATAACCCTGGAAATGAAAGTTCAGTTTTCTATTGTACAGTAGACATTTCAGACCTGTAAAAGGATTTAAGTGCCTAACAGCTTGCTTACCTTTTCTCCAGATGAAAAATACTGTCTCTCCCTTCAAATACTCTCTTCCTTCAAACTTTCCCTTTTTACAGCCATTGACCTTCACGTCTGCAACAACATAAGCAACAGACAGAGAGAGATTTAAAAGAAAAACAAGTGGAAGAAAACATCCTGGAGACCAGCTGCTCTTTATATAGATAGACAAAATATGTAAAAAAGAATATCTCATTTTGCTGCACCCCAGGAAAAGAAGTGGTGAGCAGTTGGCATACTTTGAGCTCCACAGAAGAGCAAATATTTGAGACTTGACTTTTGGGTGTGCAGAGCATGCACAAGGCCTAATAAAATTATTGCAACCCTTTACCAGTTCTCGCCTCACTCTGGCATTTGTTTGAAAAAGAACTGAACTTTATACATAGACCTTGAAACACAGAGATAGTATGAAAACCCCAAAGCTTTCAAAAATGGAGGTTTAAATCACCTGAATATGTAGCCTTATTTTCAAGAAACTCAGCCAGCATCCTTAACTGTCATAGTGCGTGTCAAGAGTCAATGACCATAGAATAGAATCATAGAATCATCAAGTTTGCAAGAGACCTACAAGATCATCCCAGTCCAACCATCCACCTAGCACTACCACTACCACATCACCCAGCACCAGATCCAGATGTCTCTGGAACATGTCCAGGGATGGTGATTCCACCACTTGCCTGAGCAACCTATTCCAATGCCTGACTAACATATTTTTTTCTAACATCTACTCTGAATCTCCCCTATCTTAGTTTAAGGTCATGATGCAACTACTTTGTATGTTTTGAAAACCTCCCAGCTGAACTTCTCTGTAGGTATATCGTTTTAAACTCTTTTCCAAATTACCCAGAAATGTTTGAACAAAAGATGCAATGAAGCATTTTATGTGCCATTAACAGTCCCTTTGGAGACAGCTACAAAGTGTTTCGCCTTGTGTTTTAACCTTCTGCCTGAAGTCTGGCCACAGTCACATGTACAAGGTGGTACAAGCTACAGTTACAGTGTACCTGGAAATCACCTGTTCTCCACTCAGCAATGGTAGTGTCCCACTGTGTCCTCCAGCACAGGTGGAGCAGAGTGTGTGCAAGTCTCTTCCAGCAATTAAAATTTCTAAGGGAAAGCAGCCAAGTGGAGCAGACAGAGGTTAAAAGCTTTACATAGAAGGCATGAGCCAGTAGGTTAAATGGATTTGATTCTCTATGCTTTGCATGTTCCCCTAGTTAGCATGTTTGCCATCTGATGTAAGTCCTTCCACTACATTAGCATCCTATGACCTCCCCTGATCTTTCTCAACATCTTAAATGCCTCATCCCTAAGTCTTAAACTGAGAATCTCAAGAATCCACAGAAAATCCTTCACTTTTAGTAAAAGTAATTGGACCATGAACAAATTCTCTGAGAGCCTCTTACTCACTCTACGAGAGGATTTATCTCAGGCAACACCGGGGCACTGGGTAATTCAAGGGCTGAACCTGGAGCTGACAGAGCTCAGCCCAGCTCTTCTGATTTAACAGAGGCAATCCAAATCTGGGCTGAGGAGCTGCTCCTGATTGTGTGGAACAGAGTAAATGTTTGCTTGAAAAATAATAAATCTTAGGGTGAGCAGACCAAATGATGCAGGGCCATCTTTTACAACCATTCTTGTAATACAGCAGAACATTAACTTCAGGAATTAGTAGTCATTAGTCAAAATAAGAATGTGAGTGTATTAGGCTTTGTTAATCTTTATTAGTCTCTAAACATACAGTATAAAACCAGCACTTGCAGGTATAGCCTCAAGTCTTTGGTTAAACACAGCGGTGTATTTCAGTAAAAAAACCCTCAAAGCTGGCTCCCACTGATTTCCTGTGGGCTTTTTAAGCAAAACAAATATCCTGAAAAGAAACACTGAACTGTGTTTTCTCACAAAATGAATGAATACACAGACAGGTGGATGACCTTGCCCTGAATTTCCTGTGCTTAGATTATTGGCCCAAAAGTCAATGAACACCTTCTGGTGCTGAGATTTTCAAGGCTGAGCAGTGAACATGCCCCAGAGCTTCCCCCAATCTTAACAAAATGTCTGTAGCAAAACATGGCTTTCAGAACTTCAAACAATACCTCTCTACCTGAAGACTCACTTTTAAAGACTCTGGTTGAGAATATAAAATATATATTCTTTGCTGCGTAAATTGTCCATTGAAATCAGTGGAAATATGAAAACCCCATTTACTCAAGATCTGTCCTTCAGCACTTGAGGTTACAACATCCAGTCATTACAGATTCTGCCTACTCACAACTCCCATTCAAATCAGACAAAACTTTTGATCTCTGCAGAACACATAGCAATTGAGTATCAGCTAAGCCAGCTCTAAACAGCAGAAGTGAGAGAACAAGGCTGCATAAAATCTGAGTCAGCTAAAACACCAGCCTGTGCTCCCAACCATTTGGCAGACAGAAGCATTGGAGCTGTGACACGAAGGGCAGCTGATGTAGCTCACCTAGCTGCTTTACATCACACCCATACTTCTCATGTTTACTGATATGAACTTTATGCCTCACTCTTCAACCGTTCCAGAGAAAAGTACAGCAGCAGCTGCTGCATTCAGCACTGCCAGCAGCATCATCTAACTAATATCCCCGTCTGATCCCAGAGGACAGCTTCATCTTAACACCATGCCATGGCGACAGTTATACTTCTTTCAAACCCCTGGAAAATCCTAATGCTGTGCTAGCCACCGACAACTGCTGAATGCCAACACCAAATCTCTCTACGTAGCACTTAGTGTTTGATGTCCTACCTTCTCCAGGTGTGTCCTCACAGCAAAGGATAATTGTTCCACTGGCAGTGATGCCTGCTGCTTATAAACTGCATATATGTTATCTCTGTGTGTATTTATGTGCACTCCTGCATGTATATATATGTCTTGCATACATAATCCCATGAGCTTGTCCTAACCTATCAAATACCATGGTAGAAGCAGGAGGTGGGGAAAAAAAGCATATTGAGTAATGACGGAAAATTTCTGAAGAACTCAACACAAAGTATTCCACGGAAGACATGAAAAAACAGGTCAGCCCATCATGCAGACTACCATTTGACTCACCCATCGCTTCAGTGGACAGCAGTTTCCTTGTTTGGTTTGCTGTTTCATTACTCAAACCACAAAACTCCATGTCTCTCCATGTCTCACTGACAAGGTAGAACAGGAAGATGTGTACAACTGTGTCTTAATACATTTTACAGGATTTCCGCTTTCAGGTAAGAAAATGTTCAGAGAGGAAATACCCTGAAAACCCCCATATTTTCTCAGAACAGACAGGGACATGACACTTTGTCAATAAGTAAATGATAACAATTTCTAAAAAGAACATTTATATAAGTTTGAGGGAGGTATATGTCCTTTGACAGAGACAGACTAAATCATTCCAGAGTTATAGGAGAAACCACCAAGCTTCTGTACTGCAAGGATGGTGAAGGACTCAGAGGATTTTTATTTCCAGCACTATTACAGACACCACATCAGTCAGGTCCCCTATGAGCAATACAACATGCTGTCTTTGCTGTACAAAATTAAGGAGGGAACTCTCTGGAAGTAAGCACACTTCCCACCCAAGGTATGTACATTATCCAACCCCATATTCTCCATTTATGATGGTACTTCTGGGTACCAGCACCTTGTCCCACCCCAGGCAATGAGGGGGTAAGAGCAGCATAGAAAGGGTAGGGAAAAGGACAGCATGTGTGTACCAAGACACCTGAAACAATGGCAGGAGAAAGAGAATGGGAAGTATTTCAGAGGAATATGAAGGAGCAGTGAGGGCAGGAGAGGAAGGCAGCAGCTTCCTGAGTTGCAAAGGCAAAGCAATAAGTGAGGAAAAACATAGACTATGCTGGACACAATTTTATTCCTAGGCCATATGGCACCAGCAGCCA